CACTAGATCTCTTAATCATTTTAAGCACCCTAGGACGACGAACTTTTTAATCAGAACTTATAGGCTGGCCGAGAGTTCCCTGTTAGTGATAACACATATGGACTTAGCACATGAAGATAAACATGTTAAAGAAGTATATACATTGAATAAGCTAGGTCTGACGCCTATGGTGAATATGAGGACTTTGTTTTTATGTCTCAATTAAGACCATTGTTATTACGGCCAAATGTCAAAAAAGTTTTTGTTTTGTCTGTTTGGAATTTTATCCGCTTTAAATCTTATTTCACTCAATGGCGTATCTTCGACAAAAAATCCCTAATCTTAATGGAAGCTCTATCTCGGAGCTTCCTCAGGACTCTGGAGTGAACTTACGTATATGTAATTATGAGGTTTAAAATGTTATACTAGGATGCTAAAGCCAATCTTTATCTGTCGGAAATTTCTAAAAGTAAGACAATTTAGAAAAATTTGAACTTTCTTATTTAATTCAGTGAACTCACAAATCGCAATTTTCCATATTTAAATATTCTCTGGCAACTGAATAGAAAGAAAGGTCAAGCTTTACACACTATAAGTGGCTTCTATTATCTTCCCTGAAGGCAAAAGGTCAACACTGCAAATGAAGTAGATTTGTAAAATAGTGAAATTGTAAAGCAAAGGCGATCCACTTTAGAGAGTATAAGAAACATATGATAATCTGCCAAAGGGTCAATATATACTGAGGGAATTGTAATCATAAGTTAATAGACCAGACATTTATGAACCCATCTTATTGGAAGTAAGCTTTTATGCACTTAGAAGAGCTCTATGCTGTCGAAAAAATGAACTAATATCTTCCCAATATTAGCAAATATTCGTTGGCTATACCAGCATTTTTATCTAAGAAATTTGATTTTCGGAAGATATGAAGACCAAGATGGTGTGGCTTTCGGAATTATCACAGTTACCTTTTAATATATAGATGTAGATTAACCTCGTTTTCACAATAGCGTCTTACTGTTAAGGAGATCTAGTTGGACGCACCTCGTTCGAATTCCTATGCTATAGAAGTCAACTTAATTACTAGAGTCAGACGATGGACTTGGAGGAGTGCTAGCACAACCGTTTTCGGCAGAAAGACTGGTCATGGGATTGACTCCACTTGCTTATTTGACGAGTTGTAGCTTGGTGCTGAGAATGGCAAGGCTCACTGATTATGCCGACTACGTGCAAGCGAAGCGTCTGAGAATGTATCAAATCCATGGTCCTAAGATGGGAATTATACTAACTTAGACAAGGCGCATCCAACTAAGTCGCCCTAGCAACACGACCAAGTTATGTAAACGCGATCAATCCAATTCTATATATCGAGAGAAGACTATCACCATACCGAAGACCACATCATCTTGGCCTTCGTATCTTCGATTAAACTGCTTTAGTAATATTGTCAAATAATGCAGCGAATACATCAGTACAAAGAAGATAATTGTAAATCAATCTCATCATCTGACCTTTTTAAACTATTGTAAACATTATGATATCACTCGTAAATTGGGTAATTTTAAGAGACCCTACCATTCGGATAAGGCTAGTGAGATTCTTTATCAGGGTTCTATTCAGGAGTTAAGCGAAGCTTATGATATGGAGAGAAATAAGCTGTTTACGTTTATGGATATTAAGTAAAAGCTCCGGCGTGATCTGGCCAGAATCATGAATCCGAAAGACTTTCAAAGACTCCAAAGTATAGCCTACAGAAAATCACTTAAGTTTGGCATTATAAAACAGAGTAGCTAAA